ATTGGTAACTAAATTTTAAACACTACATTCAACAAAATCTTAGTAAATATGGATCTTAATTTTATAAAAAATTTTGTATGAAATATATCATGGTGCACTGTATAGTAATGGAATGCAATTTTAAAACTAATAATAAAATATTTGCTTAAGTTATATTATTCATTCATAATACAAATCATAACAAATTATAAGTACAGATAGAAAATGAAATTTTATATTTTACAAGAATTTTAGCATATTTGTTTTTTAAACGTTTCTATATTCTTAAATCATACATTTCCTAAATTTTGATTGCATTTAAATGCATGCTGTGTATTACTTGTTTTCAAATAATATGAAAGAAAAATGCCTTAATAATTAGGAAATTAATATTGCTGAAGGAACTGCTTTACTATCTTTGCAAAATTACTGTAACTAAATTATCCAGAACTGATAGCCTTAAGTAATAATACAACTTAATTTGCTAACCAAATGAATTGTGGACTTCTAATATGTTGCTTTCTGTACTCTGCGGTATTGTTAGTCCTTCTTATTGCTTACATGTACCCCGTGTATTAATGACATTGTATTTCTAGCATGTACCATATTAACAGTACAATAGGCTCAAATTCTAAGTAACTGGCCCATCAGCTGAACACTGGTGGTTTGACTTCAATTCCTGGAGAAAAGGCTGGTTGCATGGCCATTTTTCCATGTGTAACACGAGTTAGTTAATGCAGTGAGCTACATACACATAATTTAAAACTATTTAAGCATATTTATATGCATCTGTCACAATTCACAACAATATTCAAAACCGTTGGCATTTAAATACACCTAATAAAATGCATAGAAGTTTCTATATATATTAATGAATAAATTAATTTAAGTAACCCGAAAATTCAAAATAACTTGCATCAAATGAAAAAACACTATAAGTTTCTATACCTATGAAATAATACATTTTGCTGATTATGTTTTATTTTGCCTGCATTATTGGTGCATAATGCAATCGCGCAGTGCGTCAAATGAAAAAACACCATAGGTTTCTATACCTATGAAATAATACATTTTTCTGATTATGTTTTATTTTGCCTGCATTATTGGTGTATAATGCAATCGCGCAGTGCGTACCAACCATTATACTACATAAATTTAATTATATTTGAGAGGAAAAAAAAAACAAACCGAATGAGTTTCTACAGTCGCGCACAAGCTTACATTCAGCTTAAATAAATGCAAAAATCTATGTTGATCTGAGGAGAGAAAACTTCAGTGACGTCACAGCCAATAGACAGCGAGAACACATTTTCGTTTGTTTACCCCAAGTGAGCTAACCTGTTCTTTCTACAGACCTTGAGCTACCTGTCGCAATACAATAAAACAGCCAACAGAGCCCACACCCTTGGCGCGCCCACTTATATGGCGAGTATCGATGTGTACATGGACAAAGTCAAGGGAGTGTGCAATGCAAAGTTTGTACAATTCTGGGATTTTTTTTAGTGAAAATAGGCAGTACCTCCTACATATGCCTATTTTCACTACAGTATGTAGGAGGTACTGAAATAGGTCGATGCGTAGATGGATATCGAGTTTGTGAAATTTTTTGACTTGTTATTTTCAAGTTGTCGATTTTGAGAAACGCGCCAAGCATTGGGTGATTCTGCACTTTCCCAGTTTATCGCAAAGGTGTGGGCTCTCCTACAATTTTACCAAGAGATTTTTATTTCTCCTTTGTCCTTCGATTTCATGCGATCAGGACGCTATGGAACTCATATTTAAATAGGAAGTCAAAATTTGTACATTGGATTTTTCATGTAAAATCCCATGCATTACCAAATGATCCGCTTTTTAAAATTCTCTCTGCTTCAGTAATACAGCGAGAATTTACTCCTCCTTGAACAAAATCAAACATTTTGGTAAAGCTAAGCAAGTCCATTTTTGGATGTACGAAATCAGATGACATGACATTAATTGGCGTGAATTGAAATGAGTATGAGTATTTAGTCCGAAGACTTTTACTCAGCAATTATTTACCCTACGGGGGCATCATAGTGAAAAAAACTAGTTGCTTGCTAATCATCCGTGAAGTTTCTGAAGTAGTAGACATCTATTGAGTCGCCATCTATTGGTGCGAAGGAAAAGCATAATTTGAAAAACTGAGCAATAGTAATATGGCATAATCTAGGTGAAGGAAAGTGCAGAGTACAATATTTAAAGTAAAACAAGTCCTAATTAATTTGTAGAATCTTGAAAATTAATAGAAAAGAATTTTTGCAGACCGGCCAATCGTAGAGTGCAGAGAAGTCACGTGACTCGTAATCCAGATAAGTTCGTCGCAAATGGTACTAGTAATTTAAAGCAAAATCTGAACATTTGAAAAAAGAGAAATAATTTTCTTCAGCAAATTTCAACATAATTTCTGGTGTTCTGAATGCTAATAACATTTTTGTGTGGTGCTGCGTGAGCTTCGAATTTTCTGTGCTATTTCAATGAGAGTATTGATGAGTTGAAAAACTTTGGGATCTTAGATCCTTTGGGCTCAAAGATATTTTTCAAAAAATTTGAAAAATATATTTAAGCTGAATTTCTGACATTATTTTGCAGCGCTGCTCTGTAGTTAGTTTTGTAAGTCTTGAAGGATTTGTTGCTTTCTGAAGAGGTTTGGGGGTTTTGGAAAATCTTCTGCTGTGGGAGGTGGAGAGATAATTTTGGCTTCTTCTATTTTTTTTCAAATCTTTGCTTATAAATCTTACAACCATGATAAAAACTGACGTGTTCTTCCGAACAAAAAAGACACTTAGATACCTGGTTTTCTTTGAGAGTACAAGTATTGCTTCTGTGATTTCCTGCACATTTAACACATTTCACTTGTTTGAAGCAGTTAGCTTGAGAATGTCTAAATTCCTGACAGTTGAAGTATTGGATGGGACGTTTTCTGGGTGAATACTTTTTAATAATGATATTAAAATCGAATATGCTATTGAGTTTATGAATATTTTCGCCAGCTGGATTGCGGTGGAGTTCCAGAAAATAAATTGGGAGTAAAATTTTTTGGTTGGCAATTTTCTTAGAGAATTGGCGCACTTTAATGATGGGAAAACCTCTATTGGAAAGAACATCTTGTATTTCACTTTCAGTAATAGTGTTCGGCATATTTTTGAGGATTACCTTAATTGTAGATTTATTATTCATCTGGTATGTGTGGAATTGAATTTCTAATTTTTTTAGGTTTTTTTTTACATAATTTTCAAAATCAGAGAGATTTTTAGTTAGTAGATAAATAGCTCTGTTTTTCATTTCTGCTTCAAAGTTTTCTGTACAGGTATCTTTACACAGTTTATGAATTGATTTCCAATCTGTATTATTTTCGGTGATAACTATGGGTGGTATTTTATCTGGAGTACTACTTTCTTTAACTGTTTGTTCAGTTTCACTGAATGTTGTGAATCTATTTTTTTGTAGGATTTTCTGAGTTAAATTAAGAGTAGGTTTGCAAGCCTTAGCAGGAGTTTTCCAATCTGCCTTATCTTTTTGTATATCCTGAGTTTTTGCTGCCTTTGTGGGAGATTTTTCTGGGGAATATGCTTTCTTGGATAAGTTAGGAGTACTGCTCTCTTCTTGCGTAGCAAATATAGCTAAAAATTGTTTGTAGGTTTCGTATGCTGGAGTGTTTTGCTCAAATAGTGAAAGATTGCCGAAAAGTGATGTAACCTGCGCTACTCTTTCTTCGGGAGAGGCTTCGGGAGAGATAGGATTCTCCTTTTTTGAGTTGGAGTCTGATTAGTTTTCAGTTCTGATTGATCTGCTGTTAAGTTGCGAAAGACGTTTTTAAAATGTTCTAAATTAGCTGAATTATCCTTAGATTTCTTAATGGCTTTTTTAGTTAGCTTGCGGTTGGCGTCGGTATCATGATTATCATTTTTGGTAAAGTCCGTTCGGTTGGGTTTGCTGGAAGTCGAGTTAGTTGAGTAGACTGAATCCATTAATTCGTCGTCATCCCTATTATGCCTGTTAGCCCAAAGACAGTCTGGCGGCTCTTTGCCCGACATTGAGAAGAAAATAATACTTACGAGAAGTCAAGGAGCTTAAAAATGTCCGAGCTGTCTCTATGAGCTCAGTGCTTGAACTGTGATGTCAGAAATGAAACGAAGTCAGATCACAAATCAAAATACCGCCATTTATCCGCCACAGTAATGTGTGAAAGCGCCACCTATAGGTGAATTGAATCGCGGATAGATTCACGGACTTTAGACATTAATTTCAAGATAGCAATTATTGTTTGCCTCCAGTTTGCCATCGCTTTTATTAATTTCAGCATAATTTGTACAGAACGTTCTTTATTTTAGAGTAATTAGAAAGGGTAGCCATTGCATATTCTGAGACTTCTTAAATGACATTTTCTATATCATGATTAAAATTTTCACATCATGAAAGGCCAATCCTTTTTACTACTAATGATATAATACTATATTTATTTTATAAGTATTGAATCTGTGATTCGTTTTAAAACAGGAAAGACTATTTTTTGTAATAATTTTGGAACTCATATAAAAGGTTATAAAATCATTATGTAAAAAATTATTCCAGCATTATGCTAAAGGTTATTTACTTAAAAATGTAAGAGCATCACGATTGTCAGTAATCAATAACATTTTTATAGATTAGTCTCTCTTTACCTACTTTTTCTCCCCTTTACTTCTTTTTTTTTATTTTGAGACACATTTTGCTTTATATATAAACACTTTAGAATACATTATTAAACATTTCAGTATTAGCTGTTTTAGCTAGAATAATAAACTAATTTCCAAGTTCGAATTGTAAATTCTTATGTAGTTTAATTTAAACTGTATCTTACTATCAGAAATTTATTAATCGTACTTGAATATTATTTCTACAGGGAAAATGCATGTAGAAGAAATATTGCAGTATATTTCTGAAACTGATTTTATTGCATCAACTTATTAAATTCGTTGAAGAAAAGCTAATTGCAACACAATTGCGAAATTCATCACCACGCATAAGCACTAAGGCTCCTGTAAATTGGCAACACCGCGGCTTGTGTCTTTCTCTCTATCTTTTCAATTCAATCTCTTTATCGTCGTAGTAACACCAAAAATTTGCTGGGAACCGGTGTGAAAAATCAACCGCCAAGATGGTGAGTTTTTGGAATCCATATTCAATCTTAGTCAATCTTTATTACCTATACTTTCTTTTACGTTTTGGTTATATAATAATGAAATATTTCTTTAAATAAATTTAGTAAAATGTGACACTTTGGGGTTAGCTGTAGTGATCGCCATGTTTCAGTGCTTAACATATCTTTCATGAGCTTGAATATTTCTTATTATACACTTGATTTTATTTCAGGATATTATTTATTGCTACGCATTTTCTTAATTACGTGTATATTTTTTCTGGTTTTTAACAGCTGAAAGATTTGAAAATTTTAGATACTTGAACTATTACGTGGCAAAATTATGTAGTCTGTTAACTCTTAATATTTTTGTCTTAAAATCAGAAAAATTATAAAATTTATTAATCTTTTATCTAATTGGGTGGCCATTAATTAATAATTTTTCATTCCAACATTTTCTTTCTTGGGGCATATTTGACATTTGTTGTTTAGCTGTTCGTATAGCGAGCATTCTCAATGTTTAATATTTCAGGAATGAATAGCTAAACGATAAAAACAATATTTACATGATGTGAAACACTAAGTGTTCTTAAAATTAAAAATTTTTTAATCGTTAGAATGTTTTAATATATAATTACAGCTTTATGGAAAAAGATGGGTCACCTTTTATACAAGATTATCAAAGGGAAATACATATATATATGATTTACGTGAATAACTTCGGCATAACTTTATAATTATTCTGCTGAATTGCATTTTTATTAATAGCACAACCTTGTTATAGGGCACTTTTCAGTGTATAGATTTGTGTGGTTAAAGTCGGCATAATTAATTTGTATTAATTGGTGCACGTTTTTTATTCGAATTTTATGCATATTTTAAACACTCGTGTCCCAAATTTCTGTGTATTAATGTATTCTGTATATTTGTAATATTTAGGCTTTGCATAATCCATTTCGGAATAATTCTTTTTATTTTCAAAACGTTTTATCATGTATGAAAAGTTATGTAACCTACTTTTATTACATGGTCATTTAATAGTACATATGTTCGTGAAATACTTTTTCGGATGACTAAAATTAAGATTCCATGTAACTTTAAATGTTCATATCTAGATGATTCGTATGAATTATGATATATTTGGAAATATTGTTTGACGTGTAACCACAGGGTTTGGGCCATGTGCTGTATTTTCTGCTACAGTTAGCCAAAATGGGCAATGTGTTGCACTGCAATCTTATGTTCAACTTTTTGTCTTTTTTCTTTTTTACATTATATACTTCAAATTTGTAATGTATGTTTAGCCTATTACTTTCCGACTAGCATGTTCAATGAGAGTTTTGCTGAGTACTGTGTCCTAAAGTTGAGGCTTATTGCAAAATTACTTTATTTGAACTGTGAAGGTATTTTAAGACTATATTAACTTCATGTGCTTGCAGCAGTGTAGTCTGATCTGCCCATTAACTGAAAATTATTAAATTATGCAGGTAATTTCTTTTGTAAGGTATAAATTCTTTTGTACCTTGTATAATGAGAGTTTGATTTTAATCACTTTTAAATGTTTCCGCGATTTTGCTTTTTTGTTAGTGCTGATTTAAGCTTACTTTGGGCCCTGGGTGCAGATCTATGGGCCCCCTTGTCTCTGGCGGATCCAAGGAGGAGCTCATGAATTCTCTAACAAATAAAACGAAAGTTTAATTTTTATTGTAAAAGTATATATATTATAAAAAATTGTTGGATTGAGCATGTTTGGGTGCCTGCCCCCAGGCACTCAATGGATTTAACCTGCACTTGTTAGTTATACCAGGTAGTAGTAAGTTTGAGAACCAAGACTCATTTTTAGTCTTAATCTTTGTAAGGACATACCAGTTCTTTATGCAGTTTCAAGTGGTCACAAGCATTGATGTCCCTTCTCTGCTTCTGTATGAGCCAACTCTTAAGGAGCCAGTAGTCATGTATCTTACGTTGACATTCTCTGCCAAGTATTGTATAACAAATTTATTTCTTTAGAAATTTGACAAATGGTCTTGAATGATATTCATTTATAACCTACCGCAGTTTTTCAGTGTTCTTATATTTGTTTCTTGAGCAATAGGTAATAGGACTTCAATTGATTTTTGAAAGGGAAGAATTAATGTAGGCAAACAACATCTCATAAAAAGATAACAGATTGTGTCTGTGGTAAAGATGTTGCTGCTTCCAAATTTGGGCTTCCAGATGCCTTTATTCGGGTGGAAACGTACATTGTTCAAATTTTAATGGCTCTAGGCACGGAGAAACATACACACATTTATGCAGATTCTAATTATTTATTTTGGGTTTTCATCTGCAGAGAACCCGTTAGCGCCGTTTCATTTTTACTTGCCAAGCTCGCGGTTCAGCGACGATGAGCTGAGCCATAAACGTTATATTTCGTAAACATGATTTTTAGTGCATGTAATTTTAAGTTAGCAGACAAAACAAGATATTAAGCATATGGTAGCAAAAATTCACAGATAATAAGCATGTAGATGTAAAACTAACCGGTTAAACGAAAATAAATTTGTATCAAATTCAAGTTAGCAGAGAAAGAATATATTAAGCATAAGACAATATATAAGCATTTATAACAGAAATAAAAATTCATTTAAAAAATATAAATTAGTATTAATATACTGAAATTAACCGGTTAAACGTGATAAACGAAAAAAAAATTGTCTTAAATTCCATTTAACACAGAAAACAATATATTCCTTACACCAGCAGTGGTTTGCTGATTTTGATGACTATGGTAATGCATCAAACTATTCTGTCATCTTAGATAACCAATAATATTTTTTATTTCAATTCAATCATCAATTTATGTCACACCTGCCATCCTCTGAAAGGTTATAGTTAGAAAAGCATTAACAATATAATACCTTGTTAAAATTTTACACCATAAAAATTGATTTATTCTCATAATTTTAGATGACAATAACCAATAATAAAAATAAAAGCATTACTTAATTATTTAAAATGCACATTTTTGCGGCCTATGGAAACAAATTATTTTAGAGGTTGGAAACCTAATGGTTCTTAGAGCTGTTAATAATTAAGAACACAACGTAAACAGCCGTGTTACAAATTAGCATTCACCCCTCCCCCGTATTTTCTTCCTTTCATCCCGATCCGAGAACCGGTATCTATGAAAATATTTCTATCTATTCATTGTTAAAAAATTCAGAAAAAATAATAATAAATAAGAGAAGAATAATATAAATCTGCAAATGCGAACGACGACAGTTTTGATTGGCAACAAATTATGTTTAGTTTTGTTGATGAAACCTCATTTCTGGTTACCATGATAGTTTTAACTTTGTTTTAGGTTCCTTGATTTTTTTTAAAGTGAAAATAGATTGATGTGTACATGGACAAAGTAAAGACTCAATGCCTAGTTTGCTCTGATGTTGTTTTAGGTAAAAATAGATCAATGTGTTAATGGACACCGAGTTTGTGCAATTCTTTAACTTAATTTGGTTTTGGTTTGCCTTTGGTCTTGCCTTTGGTTTTGCCGGTCTTAATTTGGTCTTGAAATTTTGCCTTCCTGCTTACCGATCTTAGCATTGAAACAGACTTGCAAAAAAAAAAAAAAAAAAAAAAAAAAAAGGTACCCAAATGTAAACTTTTACCATTTTCTCCAACCAGTTTTGCCCAGACTCTGCTCTTTATAGCCCCCCCCCAAAAAAAACTTCCACTAAGTAACTTGTGTCTAATCAAAAATGCTAATTTTGTTTAAAGTCTACAGCCTAAGGTGACATTATGACTTAATGAGGTTTTTATAGAGATATTCTTCCAATTTGAAATAAAATTATATGAAAAGTAAACACAATAAACATTAGGTACTTGCTTATTATCATGTCGACCGTTGGTCTAAATTTAGGCAGCAGCTGTCTGTCATTACTGTGCAATTCTAAAGGACACAGACATCTGTACTGTGTGTCTACGGTAAGAGAACAGCTCTCACCAGTTTGTCTGCAGCTGTCTGTTGCTGTAGAAACGAGCCCTGACCCATTTTTCGTAGAGATGTCTTGAAGATTTACTTTACACCTTGGCACATTTAAAGCTGATTTGGTGATATTCACATTTTGTTATAGTTTCAAGTAAAATGCTCGTTGACCCTTTGCGTCGACCCCGACATCCAATTTCAGAAAATGAAAATTCGATGGTGCAGATAAAGCTTTTGCAGTCAAGAAACAGTCTTTGATTTTGCCATGTGAGGTACAAGTTGCTGAATTTGCCATCCCTCTGGATGTACAATGAGTAAAAATATATCAAAATAACTTGTAGCGAAATAAATTCAAAAATCCGTGCTCCTTTTTGAAGAAAAATTTAAATTTTTATAAAATAAAAAATGTATGATTTCCTAAAGTGTTGCTACTGCTTCCTTTCAAAGTATAGAGTTTGTTAACCATTTTGCTGTCCTCTCCTGTCCACGAAAATTTCTCCTCAGCGGCTCTGTTTTTCGCAGCATGTAATGTTGTTTTCTCTGTACATACATAACTTTTGTAGTGGATGAATGTAAATGAATATTAAGTAAAATTATAAGGAAATAAAGCGTAATGTTTTAAATTGATGAAAACAATTTTATTTCTCCAGCCCTAGTAGTATAATTTTTGGTATTCAGTTCTATATGATCAAATTTATCTATTGTAGGCATTTAAAGAATTTTTATGAAGATATAACAGAAGTTTAATTAATAATATTTGTATTTAATTTTGTTTTACACCATATAAGTTTATTTACATGCTAATGTGTATATCAACTATTAATTATATTTTTGATATTTAAGAGCACTTTTGTATTTAAGTTTTCATTCCTTATTCAGGGTTTTTCGTACTTTTATAGTTTATAAGAAAAAATTGTATAATCTAAATCTTGCACTATAAATAAGAATGAGGAATTCTTTTGAAACGGCATCACAGCAAAAGGATCCTAGTGGCTCCAGTTTTTTCATATTTAACACATTGCTGGCTGAAAATGAGAATTCTTTTCTGATCACCAGTGTGTTAAAGCTCGCAGCCTGTAGCTTTATTTTTGGTATATTACTGTCATGGGCTTCATTTTGCTACATTAAAAAGTACTTTAATTTTTTCATTAAATTTAGGAAAATTATTTAAAAATATAATTTGAAAGTAGTTTAATGGTTTATAAAGCAAATTAATTTTACACATATGAAAAGCTTGAGGTAGACATTTTTCTAAAACATTATTTTCTTTCAGGTAAATTTTACAGTGGATGAGATGGCGAATCTCATGAATCGCCCCAAAAATATTCGTAATATGTCTGTAATTGCCCACGTAGATCATGGAAAATCAACTCTCACCGATTCCCTTGTTTCCAAAGCTGGAATTATTGCTGCTGCAAAAGCTGGTGAAATGCGCTTCACTGACACTAGAAAAGATGAACAGGAACGTTGTATTACTATTAAATCTACGTAAGTATAAATTCTAGTTTATTAGAATTTAAAAATGTTGGACCTGTCTTTGATAAGGAGGTGTAATTTTTTATAAAATAATACAGGCAGTTCTCCCCCTTCATGTCTTAATAAGCATCTCCGTCAAATTTCTAATTTTATAAACGTGAGCGTGATTCTAAATCAGTCTCTAATACTGTACTGCTTACAATAAACTTTTCTCCATTATTTATTTTAAATGTTTTAGAACTTGTAATAAGGGCAAAACAAGGTTCGGGATATTGGAAGCAAAGCTGAACAAATGTGTGTGGGTTTGGCATTATAATTAACTTTCAATGTAATGCCAAAGCAAGGCATAAATGCTATAAAAGCAAGGTATAAATTAATAATTAAATGCTATAAAGCAAGGTATAAATGCTATAAAGCACAATTTACAAAACAATTATTAGAAAAAGCAAAATAGCTGTGTAATTAATTAAAAATGTCTTTAATTTTTTCATGGTAAGAGTTTTCTCATGTAATTGTCTCAGAATATGTGTCAGTTTTCTCTATAATAATTTTACACTTTTTTTTTGTTTGATGTATATATATTTTCAAAATATATCTGGCTTTTAGCTGTTACCAAATTGGTAGGGGTAATTTTTCTTTAGGATTTTGGACATTGCAGCTTGGAAAGTTAGAAAGATTTAAAGGCAATATTTATAGACCCACGATTCTGGAAGATTCCAGAAAAATGTGTCCATGGTATTAATCCATAATTCCTTACTTTTCGGAGAACGTCTGAAAGAACAGTGAAAACACAATAGTTGAATGTTTTACTTCTGATACTAGAATCTTTTTCTTAACATTTTTATCTTCCCTTTATTTTCTCTTCTTTTCACTAGACACAAGCATAAAATATCAAAAATGCTTCTAATCTTATCATATGGACAGGCATTATAGAAAAGAATTTTTTTATTAATAAAGAAATTGAAAACTGACAATTTAAATGATTCATCTAACATGTTTTAATGCATCATATACAGGGCATTTTCTCATCTGATACAATCTCTGTGGATCCTAAATTCTGCTGCCTGGTGTCTTTTAAATTTTGCTTCCAATGCCAATTCTAAAAAATTGACATTTCTACATTTTGTTGCTCGATGTGTTATTAAATTCTAAAACATCTGTCACACCAGCTCTGTAACCTACATTTCATATTTCTTCTGAATGTTCATATCACTAAAGAAATAAAATTCGCAGCTTTCTCTAGACATTCCTAAATGCATTTAGTGTTTTTTGAATAGCAAAAATATTTTAATTAAATCCAAAAATTTTAAAATGGAAAGGAAATGTGGAAGAAGGAAATTATTCTTCAAAGATATGTACAGATATTATTATGTAAATACTGAGTTGTTTACAATTTCAGCCTTTACTGTCATTTTCCATTTCTATTTTCTCACCAGAATGCAAATTGCTTAGTTTTTTTAACTGAGGTTTTTGGAGTGTAAGACGAGTGTATTTCTGACCTCCACTTGTTCCCTGCCAGCTCTGATAATTAGTAATTATTCGTCTTTACATTACCGCTGCCAACATTTGAATTTATGAAGATAAAGTTACTGAGCTTAAAATGAAATTAATTTGTATAGTCTTTGATAACTAGTCCATATTTTTAGTATGAATTTGATTCTTGTTTAATTACATCATCACAAGCTACAATTGATTTATTTAGCATTATAACATGCCTTTATATTCTGAGTTCTTTTTAAATAAAAAGCTTATTTAAATATTTGTAGCTGCTTTCAGACATAGCGATAATTTGCTTCACATCCGTCTGGAGGGTTTTGTACTATTTAACTTTTACCAGATCAAGTAAAACCTAAACCTAGGTACATTTTGGAGAGGCCATATTAAGGGCTAAAACACGTAGAAACTAGTGAGAACATTGTCTTGTGTATTGAGACAAAGTTCTAACTATTAGAAAATATGCTTAAAGAGAAGGAAATTGATATAAATTAGCCAAAATGTCTGTTAAGGCTTCGAATTAAAAAGACTTATAAATATTTTATTGAGTGTTGTTGCTAAAAAACATAAATATTTTGTATCTTTTAATGTATAATTATCGTAATATCTTTTAAGAGTCAGTGCCCATAAATTACATGCATTTTAAACTGAAATTTTATTTGTGATTAATAGGGCTTTTTGAACAAATATTAACTTGCAAACCGTGCTTACTTCAGGTCTTTTAGGTTTGTTCTGATTAGCAGGTCTCTCTTTAGGCAAGCTGGAGCGGCGACAACAGCCAGTCTTTTGTTTTGAATCATGCTGATTGTGATTTTGCTTCTCGCTATATGCTGCTTGACATGAAATCTACTTACTACCGTATTTATGCGAATCTAATGCACCATCGAATCTAATGCGCATCCCCATTTTAAAACTTTAAATAATAAAAAAATTGTTTGTCGGCGAATGTAATGCGCATCAATGATATGAGGAATTTATTGAATCTTATTTTATACAACAATGGATTTGTATATAAACTATCAATTAATGGTATGATAATTTTATTTAAATTTAGATACCATATTTTATACAACAATGGATTTATACATAAAGTAGCAGAACATAGATTTAACCTATTAGTGGGCTATTGTCATGTTAAACAATCATTGTTAATTAGCACCGTATATAGTATTTGTTATTAGTACCATATATATGGTACCTATTATAAAATATGAGCATGAAATAAATCGTAACATTTCTATCTAGCTAACAGTTTCTACAATCAGTGCTTAATAGTAAATGTCTTTATTCACTAATGTTTTCATCACTGGAATCCTCGCAGCTCTCTTCGTCAGAAGCAGATTCATTTCTTCTTTCCTCCTCATCATCGTCATCCTCGGCGTTCCAGAGCACGTCATCGTCACTGCCATTCAATGAATTTGAAATGCAGCATTTCTTGAAAGATTTTACAATCAAAGATCTTCAAAAATCTACAAAGATCTTCCTTTGGGAGGGCCAGTGAATTTCTTTCTACTAGCTTTAGTTGCAAACAGTGCCAATTTCTGTTGCCGCCACAAGCGAACATTGCTCTCAGCTACGTTGAACTCTCTCCCTGCCTTTCTATTGCCATTTTTTTCAGCATAAAGAATTACTTTACGTTTGAAAGTAGCGTCATATGACATTCTTCTCTGTTTGCCCTCCATTTCGTGACTACGTACTCTGCAGTTTGTATCCTCTATGCAATAATGTGTCAACGATAAATGTAACGGTAAATGTAGTCGAGAAATTTGATTGACGTCATCGGCGAACTTTGCACTCGAATCTAATGCGCACCCCAATTTTGAATACTACATTTGGCCAAAAACGATGCGCATTAGATTCGCGTAAATACGGTATTTACTAAACCCCTAGACTGAGTATGTGACAAAGTGAGACATAAAAAATCAAAATAAAGCTAACAGTATAACCTAAATAAAATGTCACTTATCTTATTTCAAATATGTCCAGTTATTGAGTGTAAAAAATATTTAATGGGCTAATCTTTGAAATATGGTAACAGGTAGTTTGGCAACATTTTGGTAAGGCGATAAAGGTTACTAGCTAGGACTTTAGCAGTGTACATGGATAAAGTCAAGACTGTGCGCAATGCCATTTTTATGCAATTCTGGGATGTTTTTTAAGTGAAAATAGGTCGACGTTACATGGATGATACCGTGTATGTGCAATTCTTAAAAACGCGGAAGCAGTTTGCGATTCTGCACTTAATCCTAATTTCACACCTAATCTTCGTCATGATTAAGCACTTTTGTTCCATGCAAAAGTTCTAGCATAAGCGTAATTCCGCTAGCAGATTGTTGGAAAAAATTGTTGAGTAAAAAAAAAAAAAATGCCTTCACTTCGTGAAAACAAAATGGCATCCAAACAAAAACTAGCAGGTTGCTGTAGCAGGGTCGATCGCCAAATTTGCGCCAAAAAATCGCCAAGTTACCATAATCCAAAGATTAAACCTTTAATGCTACTTGATAATTATTCTCAAACTTATTAATAATTATGTTAATTATGTTTAATAATAATGCATCCGACTTATGGATCTGTTTTACTTTTAGGATGGTATTACAAAAGTTCAGCATATACAGTCAAAAGTTGTTAATTCGGACACCCATAATCCGGACCTCAAAGCTAAAAACTTTCTGCGCGTGTGCCGCATTCGCACATGTGCACAGGCGTTTTACGCGTGTGCGTAAGACCTTGACTACTGCGCATATGCGTGTGCGCAAGTGCAGAGTACGTTTTCGCCTGCACGTTTAATGTATAACGGACGGTGTAAGCTAAAATTATCTAATTATCTATTTCAGTTAATGTGTTAATGATTGCGTTGTTCCTTAATCTTCGCATTGGATCCCGCTTATTTTTTGCAGACTGTAAGAGCAATTTTATAAAAGTAAATTCGATTATGTCAAATAGAATTTCCGATGCTGGAACTTCCAAAGGATCTACAAAACGAAAGTATGTTTCGATGTCCAACAAACAAAAAGTGGAATTGCTGCAAAAAATGGATAAAGACATGAATGTTACAGAGAGGTTAGTGAAAACAAAAAAAAATTTCTATTGACAAGTTAGTCGGTATTCTCGGCAGAGCAATTAACGGGACTTGAACAGCGAGACTTTGTAACTGAACAAGAAATTATGTCTGTTTATAGAATTAAAGAGAAAGTATTATCACATAAAATGAAGCAACTTAAACAACTTACATTGAAAGAAATGTTTAATAAAGTAAGCAAATATATATTATGCTTTTTTTTTGTAAATTTTGATACCCTTTACATCATAATTGTTCTTTATTTCATAAATTACGGTTTATTTTTAATTTTAGAATTTCTGCATGCCATCTTACGAGATTTAAACTGATGATCTATAATCCGGAAAAATCGATAATCTGGAATCGCCGAAGTCCCGACGAGTCCGGATTAACGACTTTTGACTGTATAAGATTTTTAATTGAATTTATTCAGTTTCCATTTGCTTATAGGTCCTTAAAAGTCCTGAAAAGTACTTAATTTCTGTGTGCAGAAATGTGCATGAACTCGGTTAACAGAAGTTTTTCATTGCTATGACAATGCCCCAATCATCAATTCAATGAACAGATGTTGAAATCTGTAGTATTATTCTAAATCCAGAAAATACTACCACTAGTGAAGAAAGTTGATGAAATCTAAAAAATTTCGATTGACAAGTTAGTCAGAATTCTGGACCCAGCAATTACAGTCTTGAATAGTGGAACTTTGTAATTGAACAAGAAATTATATCTGTATGTAGAATTAGAGAAAGTATTAGCACAAAAAACAAAGCTACTTAAACAACTTGCATTAAAAGAAATGTTTAATAAAGTAAACATATAAATATTAAGCTTTTTTTGTAAATTTCGATATCCTTTTGGTCATAAATGCTTCAATTTTTCGTAAATCATGATTTCATATTTTTAATTTTATAATTTCTACATGCTCATTGTACTTGATTTTAAACTAATTATCTAATATCCAATCTCAGACTTTGTACTGTGTATATATTTGTATTTTAAAAAATTTCTTTATAGTATGGTTCACCTCTTCCATAGAAAGGAGATGAATTACATGAAATTTCTACATACACCAGTAATCTTAAAAATATTTCTTCCTGAAAACTTGCATAAGGTGATAATTTAGAAAAAAAAAAAAAAAAAATTATCAATAAAGGGGTACTTGTTGGTTATAGCAGCTGTGGCAAGAAACAAAAATGGGCAGTCTCATTATCAGATTGATACCATTTCATAAGTAATTTTCAACATTGGAATTTGCTAGCAGTTTCAAGGAGTAGTAAAATTTCAGAATCAGAAAATAGCAATTGCGAATGAAACAAATGTAAAATAAATTTGCATTTAGTTTGTTTTCTGATCTTGTTTGTTAATGATTGTAAGGCACTGTGAAGTCGGGTTTGGATTGGTGTATTTGAATATGTCAAAGCATAAGAGTGCTATCTCCTTAGAGGAAGGATAACTTATAGAGGAAACTGGCTCATCCTACATTATATATGAGGAAGCAACAATAAAAAATGCACTCATTTGTCAAGATTTGAACTCTGGACTATTCTGCAGCTTTATCACTGAGCGGCTGGCGAGTCATGAAAAGTCAGTATAGTATAATGTATTTCAGTAGTGTTTTCATACTTCCTGCCAAATTCACCAAAATGGAAGCTAAATTTCAAACTTGCTGATGGTAAAGCTTAACACGTTGAGCGCCACATCAGCCATCTGTGGCTGATACTAGATTTTCCATTTAGGCTGCGTCAGCTATCCTTGGCTTATACTAGATTTTCCATTTAGGCCACGTCAGCCATCTGTGGCTGCACTAAACTTTCCGTTTAGGTCTCCACAAATGGCTGACACTAGACCTTTTCCTTTAGGCCGTGTCGACCACCACTGGCTGAAAGCCATGATATATAACTATAAAATTTACACTGTTTTATGAAATTGCACAAAATTTATTTAAAGTTTACTTAATTTTGATTCATTGAAAACGGTTCTCCATTACAGCTATTACAAAATGTGACAACACTCTTTTAGTCTTTTTTCTGGCCATTACTCTACCAGCTTATGTTGCATTTTTATCATAACATAATTTACAATATTTTCGTACTTCAGAGGCTTTTCCCGGTTTTCTTCGGAGTTTATGTTGACGTTTTCTAGATATTCTTGCATTTTTGTTTGACGGATTGTCTTCTTTTTCACAACTTGTTGCTATCTCCTATCACAATACGAATCACTGGCCCTGCAATACCAGCACTTTTAAGCGAAGCGCGTGGCCTGAATGGGATTGCCTAAAACATACGCGTGGCGCTCAATGTGTTAATGCTACGTAGTATTCTGTTTGTACTGTAAATCAATCTTTCATCCTTATATCATTCAAGTCATTTAATTGTCCTAGTGACTTTAAACTCAAATTTCTAGATGCTATTGAATGTTGTGAGGAGGAAGTCCTCACTTTTAGAAAAGGCCTGTATTATGATCTTTTTGAAGTGAAGAAGGTGCTTAAAATTTTCCCTTTTATGTGCAGGGATGATTTATTTGAAAAATGTTCTGCATTTGGTATTGCATTTGGTAATATTTAAAGGGCAATTATTACTGACAAAGTAACCCAGCAAGAAAGGACAGTTTTTAAAAAGTTATGATTCTCATTGCTAGTGTAATATTTGAATTGTAATTTTGTTTATATAATTGTAATTTTATGTTTTGTATATTGCAGTGCCATATCCATGTACTTTGAATTGTCTGACAAAGACATGTTATTTATCAAAGATGATAATCAAAGGGAAAAAGATATTAAAGGATTTTTAATCAATTTGATTGACTCTCCTGGACACGTAGATTTCTCCTCAGAAGTAACTGCTGCTTTGCGTGTAACAGATGGTGCTCTTGTTGTAGTGGATTGTGTAAGTGGTAAGTAATTTTTAATTTGAAAATTTTAAATGTGTTCATGTGCCCATACGAACTACCTAATTAAACTTTAAATTTTTTTTAAGGTGTTTGTGTTCAAACTGAAACTGTTCTCCGTCAAGCAATTGCTGAACGTATAAAGCCTGTTCTCTTCATGAATAAAATGGATTTAGCTCTTTTAACTCTACAGTTAGAAGCAGAAGATATGTACCAAGCATTTCAGAGAATTGTTGAAAATGTGAATGTAATAATTGCCACATATTCTGATGAGACAGGTCCAATGGGAGATATAAGGGTAAGCTTTCTTATTTTTTCTGTCATAATTGTTTTATTTCACGAGTAAATTGAGATGTACATTTTCATTTGAATACATTTGTATGTGAATTTTTTTAATGTTTAATTTCCAAAAATTTCTGTCCAGGTTGATCCATCTAAAGGGAATGTTGGTTTTGGCTCTGGACTCCATGGTTGGGCTTTTACGTTGAAACAGTTTGCTGAGCTTTATTCTGAAAAATTTAAAATTGATGTTGATAAACTTATGAACAGGTTGTGGGGTGAAAATTTCTATAATCCTGGAACAAAGAAGTGGTCAAAGAAAGCAGATGAAGGTTACAAGCGTGCCTTTGTTATGTTCGTTTTAGATCCAATTTATAAGGTAAGTTAATAGCTAAATTATTTCTAAATGTAACTGATTTTTAATAACCTAAAAAATTATAATTATTCACTCTAAATACAAGTTTAAAATTCTTTGTGGCTTGATGTATATGTGTAAATATCCAGGTTCAAGTGTGTTTTTTAAATTGCAGTTACATTGTTTTCATATGTATTGATAAGCACTAATGTACTGAAATACTAATTATTTACATATCTCAACCTTCCTTTCATATGATTTACGATTACAGAGTTGCCAACTCTCCCGATTTTCGACTGCTCTCCCGCCAATCCGATTTACAATATATTTCTCCTGACTTTTTCTTATTCTTAATATTTCTCATGATTTTTATGGAACTTCGCTTAATACTTTGTTATATGAACGAAAAAAATGATTTTGAACATCTGAAAGCAATTGAATTTTCTCTAGATTGTATCTAAAACAAAACCCTTACGTATCAGATGAGAATTTCTGCTTCGTGAGTGAGAGCATGCGTATCCAGAAACGTCGTTCTCCAGTTCTCCAATGAGCATTGAGCTGCACTGCGTGTCATCTGGCATATATTAGTCAATGAGCACAAAGCAAGCTGAAAGCTGTTATTTGGATGTTCTTTCATTATTTCGTTCATCTTGTCCTGAGTTGTGCGAGTACACGTGCCTTTGGAAAGCAGTTTTAGAAATTATCACCTTTTGTTATGTCTGCGAGAAAGGTGAAATACTCGTGTACGTTTCACAAATTGCACACATTTGACTTTCCTTCCATTATTTCCTCAAGGAAATGTAATAAATTTGCGTTGTGTACCATCTGTCATTGCGATTTTTCGATTTCGCATGGTGGAAGGGCAGATGTTCTCAAATATGTGGGTACGATGAAACACAAGGACATAAGTTGTTTTGAAAAAAAACGAATAGTTAAATTTTTCTTTGGAAACAAATGGAATGGGTTTGAAAAATAAATCTTATGTTATTGATTGCATTAAAACAGCTCCGTTCTGCCTCTACAGATGGAAGCAATAATACTGATTCAAAACTGTATCCAATTGTTTTTTTTTTTTTAATCCAGAGTCTTCAGAAATTGAGTGCAGTTTACTTTCTGTCTCCCACTTTAGAAGGGCATTCGACAGGTTTTAATATAGCACAACTAATTATAAAAACTTTAAAAGAAAATGCAGTCCCTCTGGATAATTGCTTAGCACTTGGTGCCAATAATGCACCAATAATTGTAGGCTTGAAGACTGGTGTTGCAGGCATCTTAAGAAAGGAAATTCAGATTTGCAGATTATGATGTGTACCTGTCACCTACTAAATTTAACAGCTGAAAAAGGGCCAGCTTCTTTACCAATAAATGTGGATGAACACATTGTTGGTATTTATTATCTTGAAAGGAGTTCTAAAAGGAAGGGAAAATTGAAACAGTTCCAACAGCTGCATAATATTGAAATGAGACAAATTTTGAAACATGTATGTACACGCTGGCTATCTTTAACCTTTTGAAGACAGGATGGCCATTATAGTGGCCATAGAGTCCTCTCTTTGAAAAGTTGGGGTTGTCCACTTTAGTGGCCATGTCTTTTTTCCCCATTTTTCAGGCTGAAAAGTGGAGTGAAATGTCAAATTTGACTCCCTAGGGTTTTAACCATTTAGCTCTTTCAAGGGTCTTCCTTTTGCGATATAGATGCACCACTCTGTGAATCCATTAAACTACACACAAGAATCTTTGTTGCAAATAGGTGATTTCTTAAAAGGGGGAAAGCAGATTATGAGTTTTATCTAAGTTTATCTATACAATAGGTTATATATTAAAGTTATATTTGTACATTTGTACAGTTATATTTTCTTCTAAAATTTTTTCAGTATCAAAGTGTAAGAAAACTGTAAAATAAAGTTAGCCTAAGAACTAAATAAGAATATATTTTACATCAAGATCACCTAAACAGTTATATAAAGTGATTTGTGAATTTATGTGAAGTTTTTTAAAATGGCATCATAACATGTTCTTTAAAGTGGTTAATACTGTTATTTCAAATTTGTTTTATAGATACTTGATAAATTTAAGAATTTCCTGTGTTCTGTGTAACATGTATGAAATGTAATTTTATGTTCACTGCATTTTAAATATAAGCATTGAGTTGGCCTTTAATGAATTAGACTTTGAGAAGGGGTGTAAAAAATTTTGACTACAGTCAAAAGTCTTTAATCCGGACTCTTTGGGACTTCGGCGATTCTGGATTATCGATTTTTCCGGATTAAAGATCATCAAGACACAATAGCACGCCGAATAAATATTAATTCAGAAGTCAAACAAGAAAAATCAGCGTTATTTGCAAAATTTTCACAGGACTAGTTTCGATGGTTTTACCGAACCACCATCCTCAGCTGCAGAACCAAAATGCATTTGCGGTTCTGCAGCTGAGGATGGTGGTTCGGTAAAACCATCGAAACTAGTCCTGTGAAAATTTTGTAAATAACGCTGATTTTTGTTGTTTGCCTTCTGAATTAATATATATCATCAGTTTAAATCTGGTAAGATGGCATGCAGAATTTATAAAATTAAAAATATGAAACTGTCAATTATGAAATAAAGAACAATTATGATCTAAATGGTATCAAAATTAACAAAAAAAGCTTAATATTTATTTGTTTACTTTATTAAACATTTCTTTCAACGCGTGCATGCATAAAGCATACATAACGCATAGTCGAAATTAGAAAATTGCAACCAGAAAACTATTTGTGTATTCGTGATATTTATAATGAATTTGATTTAAATTATATCAAAGCCAGAGTACATCGAGATGAAATACTACGTTTAGTCATGAATTATAAGCCGAATAAAATAAAAACATCTGCCCTGAAGATAAGGATAGTGCTGACAGATCAACTTCCAGTTAGTTGCGCGCATGCCGTGACGTTCACCTTCCCTGCAGAGCAGCGTGAAATTGATAAACAGATTTCGGAATGTTTAGAGAAACAAAAGCATATGCCATTTTTTGCTGCAATTCCACTTTTTGTTTGATGGACTTCGAAACATGCTTTCGCTTTGTAGATCCTTTGGTAGCTCCAGCATCGAAAATTCTATTTCACATAATTGAAAGTTCAAGCTTAGTTTTATAAAAGTGCTCTAACAGTCTGCAAAAAATAATAAGCCGGATCCAATTCGAAGATTAAGGAACAACATACCTGCCAACTTTTACAAAGTTTTCGTAATTTTTATGAAAAAGAAAATCTTTACGATTTTATGATCGTAATCCATTTTTTACGATTTTTTTCCTTTTTCAAGTGTTTTTAGTGATTTTCGTCGAAATTTTAGAATTTATCGCCAATTCAGTGATTTTCGCCAATTGCATCGTGTTTTATCGCCAACTACCGACTACTTCGAATCCAGTAACCTGCGGTTTCTCCCAATTCGCCGCTTAACCAGCCAATCCTATGTGCTGAACTTGTTTCTCCCACTCTTCTTTGTGGGTGCCAGATTATTTTTTCAAAAAAACAGTCTTCTATTAGCCGGGAGGAAAGGATTTTCTATCTTCTTTCTTCAGATTTGAACAAAGCATATTGTAGTTTTGTGTTAAGTGCCATTAAGATTTTTGAAAGTGTAAATACCCTTCTACAATCAGCTTCGCCAAAATCTCCCCTGCTTATCCGAATTCTTAATGATCTTTTGAAAGAACTTCATACTAAGTTTGTAAAACCGTTCGTTGTGAAAAACAGTGTGTTGATTCGTGTTGCCTATAATACTTTGGCAAATCAAAAGGATGACAATGATCTTATAATTGGAAATCAAACCAGAGAACTTGTAAATTCTTTGAAAGATCATGAGAAAAAAGAATTTCCGTGTGTTAGAAAGTACTTTTCCTCAGCCTGTGATTACATTGTAAGGAAGTTTCCTTTGCAAAATGAAGTTCTTTTAAATGCTGAAGTGGCAAATTTGAAACAATTGAAAATTCATCTTTTGAAAAGATTCGTTTTTTTATTGATAAATTTCCATTTTTGTTAACAATTAAAGAAAATGAATGCCATAATGATGCTTTAGATGAACTACAGAAGTGCTGATGGAACACCAAAATATGATAAAGAGTTTTATGTGCTGTTCTCGTAATTCCACACAGTAATGCTGAGTGCGAGAGAGTCTTCAGTGTTGTGAAGAAAAACAAAACTATGTTTTGTTCTTCAATTTCACCAAAAACTCTAGAAAACATTTTAATTGCTAAATGTTATGAGGAAACTAATTGTTATGACAGGAAATTTTCCAAAGAATTTTTGGCTAAAGCCAAAAAATGCACTCTAAGTTCATTTCAATAATTTTTTTGTGTAACATCAAGTTCTTGTTTTATGTTTCCTAATAAATTTTTTAGTTACTACTTAATTGAAATTTACTAATGTAAGTACAATTTTCTTTTTTCTATTTGTATAAATTGTTATTTTTTTAATATCAAAGCATGATATTATTAATTCTTTGTGTTCTTCTGAATTTTCGAGAAATGATCTGAATTTGGGGGAGAAATCTTCTGAATTTTTATCTTTAGAGGTTGGCAGGTATGGAACAACGCAATCTGCAACATTAACTGAAATATATAATTTTAGCTTAGCTTATACCGTCGGTTATACATTAAAAGTGCATGCATGTTTATGAGCATGCGTAAAGGTATTACGCGCATGCTTGAATGCATGAACAGAAAGTTTGTAACTTTGAGGTCTGGATTAACGACTTTTGACTGTACAAGAAAGTAATCAATATTTTGGAGTATTTTTAATTTAAATGTATCAACATTTGTTATAAAGAAGTAACTGTGATGAATTCATATAAATGTACTTATTTCAGCTCTTTGACGCTATAATGAATTACAAAAAGGAAGAAACTGCACGTCTTTTAGAGAAGCTGAATATTGTCCTGAAGGGTGATGATAAAGAAAAAGATGGGAAAAATTTATTGAAAGTTGTGATGAGAACTTGGTTGCCAGCTGGTGATACTTTACTTCAGATGATTGCTATTCATCTTCCATCACCTGTTACTGCCCAGAGGTACAGAATGGAACTTCTGTATGAAGGTCCACATGATGATGACATTGCAGTTGGTAAGGTCTTAATATATTAAGTTTAAATGTTATAATTTGTGTTCTGTAATAGGTGATGTAGAATAAAGGCTGTTTTTTTTTTTTTTTTTATTGCAGCGGTTAAAAACTGTGATCCCAATGGTCATATGATTATGTATGTTTCCAAAATGGTACCGACTAATGACAAAGGACGTTTCTATGCTTTCGGCCGTGTTTATGCGGGTACTGCATCTTCTGGTCAGAAAGTAAGGATTATGGGACCAAACTATACACCTGGCAAGAAGGATGATCTTGCAGAAAAAGCAATTCAAAGGTTGGTGTATATTTGATGCACATAAAAGTTTTGTAATTGCAATTTACTTTAGACACTTTTGTGTTATATTTATTGCTTTGCACATCTCTTATTAGAGTAGTTTGATTAAAACCATCTCATCCTAAAATTAAAAATATGTGTACATCACAACCTTCTTATATTACATTATACACATTTTTCCTGAGTTTTATCTTAATTTCCTTGAATTTCATTAGATATGTATTTCTCATTCAATTAATTTAGTTCTCTCTTTGATACAAGGCAAAGGTACATAAAACGTATTAAAAATTGAAAAATATAAATAAAATTAAAAACTGGTTTTACGAATAAAATTTGACTAACAAGCGCTCTGCCCAAATGGCAAGAAGGTAGATTTTCGTGGTGCACCAAACAGAAAATTTACTTTTGGTCCCACTCAGCAAAAAGATGCTGAAAGTGCAGAAATTGACTTTTAATTCACTATTCTGCCAAGTTTCAAATGTAAACAAATACGGCTGCACCATTAGGCTTAGTGGGACTTAAATTCTTGATAATTCTTCATCTATTGCCTGCAGATTAAATAAAGGCATAATAACCTTAACCAGAAGATAAGAATGCCATATTTCAATCATTTTTAAAGCATAAAATGCAAAATCTACTAACATATAAGAACAACAACAACAAAACAAAAATCTGAGCTCATGGAGCCAAGTAACAGAGTGGATATATATAAATATTTGTATAATTTTTGTTGCAGCCGATTGCAACCAAAAATATAGGTGCACGACTAACTACAGTGTTATAGCAGTCCTATATACAAAATTTCAAAGTTCTGAAGATACTCGTTTTTGAGTTACATACGTTGTTATTTACAGACATCATGAGAAAAATCTCTTCTGAATTCAATTTAACCTGTTTTGGGAAAGGATTCTTTATTCTGTCCTTATGTACAGATGTGCAGAAACATTGTTAAATTGCAAATTTTCTTTGAAATAAGACACTTAAAAATTTGCAATTCCAATATTTCCTTATAAGAAGTAAAAATTCCTTTTAAGGGAAGTAAAAATGCAATAGGAACTCTTAATTTTGTGTGTTGTCAATTTCACATTGCTGTATTTTGACGTTAAATATTGTTTCAGGTTTCAGTATTTTTTAATTTCGAAAACATCACATTGAGTCTACAAAAGGGAATAAAAGCTCTAATTTTGTGTGTTTCTGTGTTCTGACATTGTTTGATTTCTGTATTTTTAATTGAGAAAATATCAAGTTTTTGAGCCTACAAAAATCATTGTGTGTGTACAATAATAGCACCAAGTTGCTGAACAGAATTAACTTGAGAGAACAGTTGCTTAACATGCTAGAAAAGTAGTACAGTAGGGATTCAAAGATCTGAAATTGTCAGGTCTACTGCGATTCTAGAATCAATTTAATCTAGCAAGATATGTGGAAACGGCAAAATTAAGATGAAATATTTATGAAATGATTAAATCGTCAAGGCAGTGCGCAATGCCGAGTTTGTGCAATTCTTTGACTTGGTTTTGTGTAGCGGCCATCTTGAATTGTCTGGCCAAAAAAACAAAGGGTGCCCAATTGTAAACTTTTGCAAGTTTAACTTATTTAGGACTGGCAAAAGAAGTGCTTTTTCTGGATCGCATGCTCTGAAAATATATATGAAGCGGAATTGGGCAAATTTCCTTGTTGAGCCGAATTTAATTTAAAATCATTACTGCAGTTATATGTACTGTTATAAAATATTTGTGATATTTAAAATAATTTAGAAATTGAAAGATAATTTATTTAATAGAAAGTTTTATATGCACACACAAACACAATATTCAGAAAAGGAAATATGAGAACTGAAAATTTTTAACTACTTATACTACACAATATGTACAAATTTCATAAGACAAAATGAATGAATGAACCATTCCTATTCCGAAGGAATTATGCACTTATTTACATGTTCAAACTCCTCTGATCAAACAAAACTGTTAACTGGAAATGCATATTGTTGGGTAAAACATTATTTAAAAATATGATGGACTTTAATCATCATCTAGTGCCATTTAAAAACTAAAATAAAACATTCCAATTTAAAGTCGTGCCAGTGTGGTCCCTGTTCCTCGTATATCTTTTTAACTTTATAGACGCATAATTTCTTGTTTGGGAAAAAGTTATATAATTTTTAGTTTAGTGACTTCTTTTATTTCCATATTGAAAATTCTCGCTATAGAGTAAACTGAAATATTTTCATTCTCAACTTTATGAGTTTCTTTACAGTTTGTGGTGGCATTTTCCAGGTGAAAGATACTGAGAATACTAACCTTTTAGTAACCGGATTCGTCAAATAGGTATTGAATATTTTGATGAAACATTTTGGTCATAAAGAATGAGTAAAGAAATAATTTCTAAATTGGAACATGGATCAGAAGTTATTAAAATTCTTAAGTGATCTTAATAAGTCATTTTTCTGAAGATAAAATTAAAATAATTAAGAAAATTTAGAACTGCTGAATTTCAAGATCGATAAAATCAATTTAAATAATTAAAAGAAAATTTAGAACTGCTGAATTGCAAGATTAAAATTTTAAAGTCTGTTGATAGTTTTAGAAGTGGCTTTATAGAACTGGAAGAAATTGAAGTGCCAGAGACATGGTTGCCACTTTTCCAGGTCTCTGCAATGTTTCTAATCATTTGCTAAGGAAAAAGGAACACACCGAGTCATCGGGGAAAACATCTAAAAAATTAAATTGAGTAAAGAAAAATCACCAACTTCTACTGATCTCCTGACTTCAGTTTACAGGTGTTATCTTGTACTAGAACTTTTTATTTTCTTAAGATAATAAGATTAAACAAAATGGGCTGAATGAAATAAAAAAAAAGTGCGACTGTGGTGGATAAAGACCTAATTCTTTGTTATACCAAAAAAGGAAAACCAGCACTTTTAACTTTCCACTCAAGGGCTGGAAATGTGATTTGAATAGTTGAATCTTCATCAGATAAAACCTGCAAAATCGTTATACTACCTCAGATAATGTTTGTTTGGGGGGTGCACTTCAATTGATCTGGGCCGAAATTTATATATTTCTGTTTATAATTCAGGAGAAAGTTTGTGTCCTGATTAGAAACTTTATGTAGTATTATAATTTTTATAAAAAATTAGCTCAATTTTTCTTTTGTCTGTTTAAGGTTGAAGGTTTTATTTATTAATGTGTTGTGATATTTTTGTTAAATAATATTCTTTAGCCTAGTATTACTATATAGGTATTTGATATGTAGTTGCATTCATTTTCCTAATACTACATATCTCAGTTTAACAGAAGTCTAAAGAAAGCCAAGGATTGTCCTTTTGAGATTTATTTTTGCTTGTTTTATATTACCTTTTTATTTAAAAAGAGTTAACTGTTTAAGAAAAGAGCTGAAAAGGCAAATATTTCTTTTCATGTAAAAATGTTATTGAAAGTATATGTATTTTTAATATTCTAAAGAACTGTTTTATTTTTAGAACTGTTCTGATGATGGGTCGATACGTAGAGCCCATTGAAAGTGTTCCTTGTGGTAACATCTGTGGTCTAGTTGGAGTGGATCAGTTTTTGGTTAAAACTGGTACTATCACAACATTCAAAGAAGCACATAACATGAGAGTGATGAAGTTCTCTGTGAGTCCTGTTGTAAGAGTTGCTGTGGAGCCCATGCATCCTTCTGATCTGCCAAAATTAGTTGAAGGTCTAAAACGCTTAGCTAAATCAGATCCTATGGTCCAGGTAACTTATATTTTGAGTTATTTGAATTTTGGACCTAATCCTGTATTTAGTTATTTGAATGTATTACCTAATCCTGTATTTTAATTGGGGTGCTTAGTTGCCAACTTTCCTGATTTTATGTCAAATCTCTCTGTAGATACAGAATTTGATTTGTAGCTTGTACCATTGAAAGTACAAGTAGGTAAAGTTGGGTAAATTTCATTCTTCCATTCCTGATAATTTTCAGCATTATTTTCTTATTAAATTGTATTTAATTTTTATTTTCTTAATCTGTTGTAGAAATAAAATTTTATGTGAAGATTCAACTAATAGTAGTATTTTTGTTTTACTATTTTACTTTATAAGATGCATTACTAAGGTTACCCACATTATATGTATATAGGTTTTAGAATACTTTTATCTGCCTTCTGGGTATGAATATAGGAAATTTTCCGAAACTTTCCATAAATTGTAGTTAACTTTTAAGCTCTTTCCACCTGAACTTTCTTCTGCCTCCAGTCCAGTTCATCTCATTCTGCTGCTCTGCCCATGAACAAAACTGTATAACTTAATGCAAACAAAGTGAAGCAGTAATAGACTGCTTTTTATGCTTACTTGATTTGATACCAACACTGTTGTATAAATGTTTTGCTTTGCTGAATCGAATTTGACTTCTTGATTTTAAGGAGTGAAATTTGTATTCTTTACTGTATCAATACATTTTAGGTAATTTTGGCAAATTATCTTTATTATTCTTTCATTTTTGCACTGGACATTTAAAAGAACAGGTATAAGAAATTTTCTGATTTAAGTTTGGATTATTCTTTTACTGAGCTATTGTATTATAAATGGTATTGATCAAAATAATTTGTAAATATTCAGAAATTTTAATTAAACATTGATTACTGATTAAGATAAGCATTCTGTTTTAGCTATTTAACTGTAGAGCTTTGGTTTGCTTTCTAGTGTATAATAGAAGAATCTGGTGAGCATATTGTTGCTGGTGCTGGTGAATTGCACTTGGAAATTTGCTTGAAAGATCTGGAAGAAGATCATGCTTGCATTCCTCTCAAAAAGACCGATCCTGTTGTTTCATACAGAGAAAGTGTTGCTGAAGAATCTGGCATTATGTGTCTGTCAAAATCTCCTAATAAACACAACAGACTATACATGAAAGCTGCTCCTATGCCTGATGGGTTACCTGAAGATATTGATAAGGTACAGGGTTTTTGGTTTAATGTGTATCATTATTTTATTTAAGATATTTAAGTTTATTGCCTTAATGTGTAACATGTTAGAGCATTATGTTGCTAGTAAATAATTCCAGCTTAAACCCATTTTCTTTTATAACATGATTTGTACGTATTTATTCAAAATTCTTCTGTAGTATGCATTTTGTATTCTATATTGGTAGACGATACCTGGTTTAATGCGTAGTGTATATCTTTAAAAGTTCTAAATTTGTTAAGAAAAATTCTAAACTGGAATTGATTTTTTTTGCTGCAACAGTGCTTTTTAACAGGTATTCAAAAAAGCTATAAAACAGTAGTTTGTGTGAGTAAACAGCTGTAGTTTAATTGTAAATTCTTTTATCTTGGCATTCTTTAATGTAGCATGTTCTAATTAAGGCAGTATATAGCATTCAGATTATGTCAGATGCATGGAAATTGTATAATTAATGTAACAAATTTTAGTTTTATTAAAATTGCATAAAAATAATTAATATTGTTAATTACCTGGACCTTTTAATGCTCATTCTTAAATTTTATTTTAGGGAACTGTTAACCCTAAGGATGATTTCAAGGCTCGTGCTCGTTATCTTGTTGATAAATATGAGTGGGATGCCACTGAAGCAAGAAAAATCTGGTGTTTTGGACCAGAGGGAACTGGACCTAACTTATTGGTAGATGTAACAAAAGGTGTACAATATTTGAATGAAATCAAGGACAGTGTAATAGCTGGATTCCAGTGGGCAACCAAAGAAGTATGATTCATTACTTGGAAGTAAATGTTGATCAGAAAGTTATACTGTTATAGATTGTATTTTCTTTGTATTTTCTTACACTAATTTTTTTCAGAGTGTCCTGTGTGAAGAAAACATGCGAGGAGTACGATTTAATATATATGATGTAACTCTACATGCTGATGCTATTCACAGAGGTGGTGGGCAAATTATACCAACTGCCAGAAGATGCTTCTATGCTTCTGTATTAACAGCCCAACCCCGTATTATGGAACCAGTGTATTTAGTTGAAATTCAGGTATTTCATAAAATTGAGTTTCATTTGAATTATATTTGCACTTGCATAGTTCTAAAAATATTTTTGTTATAATTATTGTGTTAAAATATTTTAGTGTCCTGAGGCTGCTGTTGGTGGTATTTATGGTGTACTGAATAGACGTCGAGGCCACGTGTTTGAAGAGTCTCAAGTACCTGGAACACCTATGTTTGTTGTTAAGGCTTACTTACCAGTAAATGAATCTTTTGGTAAGTTTAAATGATTTTACAAGTATTCTGGTGATGTTAAATATGTGTAATGTGAATTCCATCCTTTTTTAGTACATTCAGTCTCTGATAATCAGGCTGTATTTGAATAGTGATGGGCAAATTCGGTACTTTCTTGTACCCGGTACAAAATACCTGTTACTCAAGTAACCATTACTTTGAAAAGTACCGAAAACTGATTTTAAGTACAGAGTACCCGAGTAACGGTTTGCTGTACCGGAGTACCCTAGTAATGATTTGGAGTACCGAAATACGCAGCTAGCGATTTTGCGCACTGAAGAAACTGCCATGTCACCACGTGTTTGATTTTATCTGTACGGAGTAAGATTTTGAACAGAAAACCTGTCAACTACAGAAGTATCAGAGGAGCAGGAGAGTGCGGCGGGTAGTTTCTGGTGTTGGGTTTGTGTAGATTGTCTTTGATGGCCAGTGGGGGTTGGGAGGATTGGCGCAGGAAGTGGATGGATGAAAACATTTTCGCTTTTGGTTGTGTCTTGTGTGCAGGTGCAGCAAAATCGATGGGTGCTCTATCAATTTCGTGAAAGAGGTCGTCCATAAATGATGTCACGCTTGGAGGGGGGTTAGTGAAATTGTGACAGTTTGTGACAAGACGGGGGAATCATATTTTGATTAAAATAAAAATGTTTAAAATCAGCAGATTGAATTTTGAAGTTATTTTGAAATTACCAAAATTTGAAGGTATTTCCTTAATTAGGGCAAAAGCAACTTTCATGTGTTTTTTTTTTTTTTTTTTTTTATTTACTTACATTCCTTTCTTTCCAAAAAAAAAAGGCTCTCAGAGTAGGTTTTAAGAATAGGGTAGCGGAAGAAATTGTAATTTTGTTGCTGTTGTGTATTAATTATGTTTTTGCTGTAAACTTTTCTCTTATTTCATACAAAATAAGTGCACGAATCATTATTATTGTTATATTTACAGATGTCATTAAAACATGTAGTTTAAATTTAAAAATAAAGTCTGAATATGATCTATAACGTAGTGCTACATTTTTGAACTGCAAGTATAAGTTTACGTAATATTGCGTGACATGTGACAAAGGGGGAAGAGGGTATGTTGAAGTGTGACACTTTGTGACAAAGAGGGGGAGGGGGGTCCAAAATGTTGCAGAAAAGTGTGACATCATTTATGGACAGCCCCAAATAAACATAGTTGCATACTTGAAAAACGTCGGAAGATTTTCTTTGTGTGATATTGAAGGAAGGGAGTGTACACTATGTTTTTTTTCGGCTGTGTTGTGTTGTACTGTTGGAGAGAAACAAAGGAAAAAAAATCGGAAAATAGAAATTTTGATGCAACACTATACTAAAAGTAAAAATGTCGCAATAAATTTAAAATAGAAAATTAACTACGAGTATAACTAGCTGTGTAGCAACCCGATAGGATGCATTTTCCTAAGTAAATATCAGAAACTTAATGATCAATCTGTTTAACATGATAATTTTTATTTATACGGATAAATAACACACCACAGAAGTCGTTTAATACCTACAATTCAGTAGTAAAGGGCATAGGGGTGCGTAGGGTCTAGACATTAAAATAATCACAAACCTTTATCCCACGTATAGATAAGATAATGACCTTCAGTACCACTGCAAAATAAAACTTATTCAAGCTACCAAATTTTAAAAAAGATAAATCTCTTATTCTCTACTCTTCCCTGTATATATTAAAAATTCTGAATAAAAAAGTAAGATAATTTAAACATTAAATATAACATAAATGACCTTGTTTGTTTAATTGTACGATACTGGCATAAAATAAAATTTACACATTTATTCATATACACATAGACTCCAACTACTACGGAATCTCCGTAGTTTCTACGGAAATTCATGAAAAACTACGAGCTACGAAAAGTATGGAAAAAACTACAGATTTTACAGAAACAAGAGCAGGAGAACCAGTACGCAAAACGGAACCAACTAATTCATCCGATGATTGGCTGAATACTCGTGTTATCATATATCACGTGTTGAGTGCGTTCCTAGTTTTAAAGAATTAGCCAATCGTAGATCAGTAACTCCAACCGTTAACGACTTATCAATAGTTCCCCCGCAACATCTGTCTTAATTGTCTGTCTCCCAGGTTCCTCGCTGATGCGTGTTTAGGCTGCATTCGGCTTGCATTGTGTAGTTTACGGCGAGAGCTTAGAGTGTGTCTTGTGAACTGTGAATCAGGTTGAAAGATTTTTTTTTAATCATAATGCTGCCTCGAACGAAGAAGCCAAAATTATCAAAGCAGAGAAGTTTAAAGATTCCATATTCTTCAGAATTTCCATGCATTAAAGCGTCCGAAATTTCTTTGAATCACGCACACTGCAGTGTATGCAACAAAGACTTCTCAGTTGCTCATGGCGGAAAAAGATGACTGTAAACGGCATGTTGTTTTCTCAAAAGCATATAGAACTTGGCACCGTAAAATCTAAAGAAGTAACAAATTTCTTAATAAAAGATGATGAAACAGATCCTATAAAAGCCGAATGCTATTTTGTTCGTTTTTTAATTGAACATAATCTACTGCTTTCTGTTTCGGATCATTCCAAAGAGCTTTTCAAAGCAATGTTTCCGGATTCTGCCAGTGAGAATGAAGGAAAGAGATTGCAAAACATTAAAAAAATTTTACAGTCACCGACCACCAAATTGTACTTGTTATTTTTGAAAAATACTTTGCCTTTGTTTATAACAGTAAATACTAATTTGCAGCAACAAGCTCCTTATATACATAAATTGAAAAGAGAACTTTTTGAACTTTTAATGAATTTATTTGTTAGATTCGTAAAACCATCAGTAATTTCTAAAGAAAATGAAGATGTTACTCTAACGTCTATTCCATTTCAGAAGTATAGTAAACAAAAAGAAAATGAAAATTTAGTGATTGGTGCGGAAACAAGACTATATTTAAAAAATGCCAAGTTGAATGAAAGTGAAGTGAAATCATTTTTCAATTCTGTGCGAGCTTTTTTTGTAACTGCATGTTCATATATAATTGATAAATTTCCACTGAGTGATCCATTTCTAAAACATGCAACTTGAGAACTGAAGTCTCATTTTCATCTGTTCTTTACTTGATGAATACTTTTCCATCCATTATTGATGAAAATGTCTTAATCAAGTAGAAATTGAATTTTCCATGTATCAAGTAGATGATTTGAAAGAAATTGTAGATTTGCGTATTGATATAGCATGGGGAGAAATTGCCAAAATAAAAAATATGAATGGGTGTATTAAATACAAAGTATTGCCTTCTGTAATGCTTGCTGTCTTAATAATACCTCATTCAAATGCAGCTTGCGAAAGAATTTTTTTCTATTGTTAAAAAAAATCAGACGGAATTTCGACCAAATTTAGGTCTTAAAACTCTTGAAGCAGTTTTGATTGAAAAAATAAATATGCAGGCAAATGAAGAACTGTGTTATAAAAAAACATTCTCAAAATCAGAACTTAAGCTTGCTAAGCATGCTACGTATAAATCTTTGCATTCATAAATTATGCGTATTTTGTTTAATACTTATATGTATCATTCTTGGTTATTTAAATTTTATTTCCCTGTAGAAATCATATCCAGAATAAAGATATGATTTATAGCTTCTGATTTTTTTCTATGATTAGTAGTGATTTGAAGTACTTTTTTATTAGTGAATGCTTGAGGAGTTAAAAGAAAATTTCTAATTAAATGTGCATATAATTTACAAGGTATATTTTTAATTATTCAGTTTTATATGTATATGGATTTTAAATGTAATAAAATTGATTACAATTAATTATTAATTTAAAATTAATGAATGGTTAATTACAACATACGCTACGCGCACATTTTCAAAGTTGTAAAAATGTCGTTCGCGCGTTGACTACTGACAAGGTTTGCTGAAGGTTGGAGTCTATGAATGGTTGAAGAGCTTTTCCACAAAAATGTTTATACTTTTCCTTTTTAAATTACATTTAGGTTTATTTTGAGTTAAATTTGTACTTTTGGACATTTGGCACCGTACAATAAATAACAAAATGATTAGAAATATTTTTAAAAACAAAAAATATGATTTTAAAAAATGCATAAACATATATATTTGATTTAAACATTTTGAATTACCAAAAGCACTAGAAAATGAGGTATGTTTTGAAAAGTGAGATAATGTAATATATTTGGATGTGCTACAGTTATAAGTAAATTTCAGCAAAATGGTTAAAAATATTTTTAAAAACGCACAATATGATTTTAAAAGGCACATTCAATATAACAATTTTGAATTGAAGATTATCAAAAAACACTAGAAAATAAGATAGCAAAGGGTTTAAAACTGTGAAAGCGTAATACCTGGATGGAGTAGCTGCTGTAAACACAAAAATGCAACAGAATGGTAAAAAATATTTTTAAAACTCAAATTACAGCCAAGGCGCATTCGACATAAGAATTTTGAGTGATACATTATTAAAAACACTAGGAAATAAGGCAGCATGTCTTTAAAACTACGAGAACGTGATATCTGGATGCTGTAACAGCAAAAAGGAACAAAAATATTTGTAAAATGGCATTATATGAATTCAATAAGTACATTCGATATAAAAATTTAAATTAAAGATGATTTAAACACTAGAAAATAAGATAGCATGCTTTCAACTATATGAGAACTTAACATATGTGAGTACAGCTAAGTAAATAATAGAACTGTAGAACTTTATATTATATTAATGATCTAAATACAATTTCAAAATAATATTTTTTTAAGAAATTGTTATTTGAATGAAGTAATATTTCATTTAATTAAAACAAAACTTTGATAGGCTGTGAAAAAAGTTATAAAAGTATCATATTTTTTAACTTTATGGAAATTTTAGGCATTTAATTCCTTCTATTTCTTTTTATAAAGACCACTTAAAATATGTAACGAAAAATTAAGCATAAAAAATTGACTCCCAGAAACAGTTTTGAAAATAATGCAGTGAAACTAAACATTTTAAGCTGAACT